AAAAAAAAAAAAAAAAAAAAAAAAAAAAAAAGCAGAAGGAGCAAACAAACTAAAAAACAGACAACACACTCAGCATCTCTGCACCCACTGGTAGGCCCAGATGGGAGCACCCAAAGGCACATAAAGTTTGGAGAAGCTCGGGAGCTGAAGGTGACACGCAGGCAGCCCGTGGGTTTTGCAGAGCTCCGTGCAGAGCAGGGCCAGGCATGGGCACAGGTCTGACACAGATGTGCCCATTTTCTGCTTTCAGACAGATGCCAGCTTGCGTGCAAGTCGCCGTGCTGGGGAGCACCATTACCTACTGGTTGCAGTGGATTGGCTGGCCCGCTTTCCTTTTCCCAGGCTGTTTTACAGAGCTCAAGATCTGAGTTACTTGGCTACAAGAGATTTTCTGCTCTGAAATTGGCAGCTGCTCATTCCAGAAGGGAATCAGCATATTTGGCCACTGCAAAGGAAGAGGGAAAACCATTATTTTTTCATTGCTCTTATTTAACTCTCCAGTGGGAGACACTGTACTTGGGTGACCCTCGTTACTAAGGCATTGCTAAGGCTTCCCTTTGCTTGAAGGTACAAAAGAAGATGTATTCAGGTCTCAGAATGCCTATATTCCTCTGGCTGGACTTGGGGCGGCCCGCTGCCAAGTATCCAGTTGTGTCAGGCCTTACACAGCACTATATTCAACGTCACGGCTCCATGAGTCAGGATTTTCTTTCTAAAAGGGTTCACGTCAAAAGGGCCCGGCACAAAAATTCCCTATAGCCCAGCAACAGAGCGTGCTGTGTAAGAAGCTGTGTGAAGAAAGAGCGCGATGCGCGGCTCAGATAGCTCAGCCCGGGCATCCTTCCATGCTGCACAAAGGCAGCACTCAGCACCGCTCATGACTCAAGGGCTGCGATCGCTGCTGTGGGGTGAAAACCCGTGGCTCAGTGCCAGCGTGCCCACAGGGTGCCCTTTGGGTGCCCTTTGGATACCCATTGGGTGCCCTTTGGGTGCCCTTTGGATACCCATTGGGTGCCATTTGGGTGCCCATGGTCTCGCTCGGTTTTTTGGGGTACTGGGGATCCCGCGTCCCAAGGACAGTGGGCGGCTGTTGGGTTTTTGCTGTCTTGCAGATCAGCCTTTCCCCTGCTTCCTGCCCTCAATTTCATTAACCCCTCGGGACATGTGTCATCTGAAGGCCTTTGCGAAGGAGGCTGAGCATCACGATTTCCCATTGCCAGGAGGGTGAAATCGTAATCGCAGCTGGAAGTGACTCTCCTGAGGTCACACCACTGTGAGGTGGCCCCTCGAGGTGCAGTCATCAGGCGCTTATCTGGAGTTTCTACTATTGCACACACTTTGCTCTGTGAGGAATTTCCTCTCTTAATCCAGGATCCTGCCGGAGTCTGGCAAAGCAGCGTTCCTCTCCACGTCTCACCTACATCTCCTTTATTAATTTAAAGCCATTCCACATGGCTTGCTGTTGGGGCCGGCCCTGCTTAATATCCTCATTGATGATCTGGATGAGGGAATCGAGTGCACCCTCAGTAGGTCAACAGATGAGACCAAATTGGGGGAAGTGCCGATCTGCCCGAGGGCAGGAAGGCCCTACAGCAGGATGAGGAGAGGCTGATGGATGGGCTGAGGCCAATGGGATGAAGTCCAACAAGACCCAGGGCCATGTCCTGCACGTGGGGATGGGTTGGCAGTTAGACTCGTTGATCTTAGAGGTCTTTTCCAACCTTGATGATTCCATGGTTCTGTCGTTCTCCCTCATCTTATTGCTGTCAGTGTCCCTGAAGGAGGATGTTTCACCCAAGTGCTGAAACCCCTCCTGATGGAAATTGTGCCCCAGTTTGAGATGTTGGAGGGCTCCAGCTGAAGGGCAGCACTCCTCAGCTCCCCATTTGGTCACTGAAGAGAGCTCAGCCCCTTTGCCATGGCAATTCATAGCAGAAACCCAGGGACTCTGCTGTGCCCTGTGTGGGATGCTGAGAGCTCTGCATGGGCAGATCATTTTCTGTCTGTGCAGCACGGTGGCTTTGCACCTCCTTTGGAGCATCTGGTACTGGTTAGTGCCCAGCGGGCTGTAGGTCTGATCTGGCACTTCCTGCACTCCTTTGATCTTAAAAAAAGATTCAGCCACCGCGTGCTGGTGCAGCAAGGATGAGAAATGTGCTGCCCTCAGTGCTTCTGCAGCCTCGGGAGGAACAGAGCCGCTTCCCTTGTGTCGGGCGATCGCGGGATGAGAGCTGACTCCTGCTGGCCTCGTGGTGTTCCCCGTGGGCACAACCTGGGAACAGCAGTGATAGCGCATGGGCTTCATCCTTGGGATGGAGTCATAAGGAAGCCCACAGGTTGGAGACACTTCAGAGCCTAGCGGGTCCCACCCAGCCCAATCCGGGCTCTCTGCAGGACTTTTTGGTGCTTATTGCCTTGTTTTCTGACATGAAAATGCGTGACTGGGCACCATCCCATCCGCGTGGGCTGGGAGGAAGAGAGCAAGACTCAGCAGCTGCCCCTCTGCTTGGCATGGGGCTGGAAGGAGCCTGGGTGCTTCTGAGTAAGAGCAGTTCCTGAGAAAAGTGAGGGCGCCCGGTGGGAGCTCTGGGACTCACCTGGGGAAGAGGAACGGGATGTGGCAATGGTTGGCTGTGGGGGCACGCTCACAGACGGTGCTTTCCCCAGGACGTGCGCCCTCAGGCTTTCCGACCAGACGAGTTACCCACAGACGCACCCGGAGCTTGGCACAGAGGAGGAGGACGCAGGATTTCCCCTCGCCGCGTGCCCAAGGAGCTCAGTTTCCCAGTGCTCTCCAATACGCAGTCGGAGGGAAGAAGCTGCTTTGCCCTTTCCATCCGCTTGGTTTAGGCAGCACCAAGCAGCTTCTTGGCCTGGCTCACCCAGCGGGGAGAAGGAAACAGGGTTTGGGGTCAAGCTTTGTGCTTAGCCTCAAATGTTGGGTTCCGTGTGGCCCTGGATGTCCCATGATGGGGCACCCAGCAGCCATGTGTCACCAGGGCTGTATCCACTGTGCACACTGGCTCCTAGGGCACAACTGCCTGCCCACTGCCCCCAGGCTTTGGAGATGTCTTCAGAGCAGCAGAAGTGGTGTTGAGCTGCAGCTGATGGTATATCCTTCCCCTCCAGCTCCCAGGAAGGGAAGCTGCAGCACATTTGTCCCATGGCAATCATCCCCCAAACGAATGAGTGCTTTGGGATACCCCTGTCAGTGGTGGTGCCCTGGGGAGATCCCATCAGTGGTTCCCAAAACGAGTGAGTGCTTTGGGCCACCCACACCAGTGGTCCCCATAGGGAGCTTTGGGGCACCCCATCCATCATCCCCAAATGAGTGAATGCAAAGGTTGCACTTGGAGAGCAAGGGGATTTTGGAGCCTCAGTTCAGACGAAAGCAGCTGCCCTGCTGGGTTTGCAGGGAGGGCAGGGCGGGGAGCATTACTACCTCTGGTTATTTTTTGGAGAAATTTTGGTATTTCTAGGGAACTGCCCTGCCTGTGCATGCTGCCCAGCTGGCTCCTTCCTCCCCCGTGCTGATGGAACAATGTTTTTCAGCTCTCCACGAGCCCTGTGACTCCGCAGCACAGGCAGCGCTGAGCGGTGCTCGGTGCTTTCCCACAGTAGCTCGGACACTGCTGTACGTAAGCCAAAAAAATCTGTCTCCGGAAGGGATTCAGTCCCATGAAGCCACTCTGCTGTCTGACACTCCGCAGCCTTATCCATCTCTTCTGTGTCTGCTCGAGGCACTGTGCCGCTCTGTCTGGGTCAGGGCTTCAGTGACATGGCCCCATGTACCCCAAGCCCCCCAGCACCATCCTGCTTGCTCCCACCCAGCTCAGCCCCACGCACCGTACTGTCCCCAGTGCCACCAGCCCAGCTTTGGCACCGGCTCCCCAGTGACGCGCCAGCAGCTCTGCTCCCCACGTGCCGGCAGCTGGAGGGAAT